GGTGGGAACAGACAGACATGCAGAAATCACCGTAACCAGACTTAAGCAACTTGCATACCGTTATATTTCAACCTCTGCCTTAAATGAGGGTATGCTATTTACAATTGCTCTTGAAGCCCACAACTGGACAGAGACATAAAATATTAAACTAAAAAACTGCATATTTTATTTTCAGCTTTAAAGATGCATCTCTAAACAATCAGTAGAAAAAACAAGTAAAAAAAGTAAACACCGGCATTTTGTAACATCACATTGAACTAATACAAGACTTAATACAAAGTTTTCATATACCACTCAAATGCAGTTACAAAAAAAAAAAAAAAAAAAAAAAAAGTAGTCTGGTCTCCAAGACCCCTTCTACTTGAAATAAATCATTAAGTACCCACAGATTTTAACTATAAAAGAAGGATACATTCTTTCTTTTTTCTTCCATTTATGAAGTCGGTAGTCTGGTCTCCAAGACCCCTTCTACTTGAAATAAATCATTAAGTACCCACAGATTTTAACTATAAAAGAAGGATACATTCTTTCTTTTTTCTTCCATTTATGAAGTCGTTTGCCACATACTTCAATCATTTGCAAGTGAAATTCACAGTCTCAGTTACAGAATTCAAGAGAACACATACAGTTCCATGATTGAAGTCCTTCCATTTTCAGTATAGGCTCTTTATCAAGTCAACACGCATCACATATCTTTGGACTGATCATCTTCTTCAAGTTTTCTGATTTCATTCTTTAAACAGTTGATGGTTTCACGACTTGCTTTTAGTCTTTCTTTAAGCTCAGCAATTTCAAAACTAGTTTTCTTTTTGGCAGCTTCCAGCTTTTCCCTGGTTTTCACTTCAAGATCTGCAACTATGGTGGTAATAAAGAAAAATAAATATTGTAAGTACCATGAAAAGATGTAATTTTTTTTTTCTAATTGCAACAGTAATTTGGATGGTGTGTGTCCTGAAAAAAAAAAACCACTATTGCTGTTAGCCTTAGAGAGTCAATGATGGTACTCAAAATGGTATTAAAAAACCCCCAACACCCTGGAATTAAAAACAAAAAAACAAAACAAACCAAAAAAAACCCTGTTGTTTTTTGGCCTCATTCAGCCCATCAGTTTTGTGGATGGAGTTCTAGATTCACTAACTCACTTTCCAGAGTTTTTTTAATGATTAAGTGGGGAAAAAACCTGACATGGTAACAGAAAATAAATGGGAGATTACGGAGAATTATAAATTATTTATATGTGGTGTGCAGTGACAGCAGGTGAGGCCATGGGCACAAACTGAAACACAGGAGGCTCCCTCTGAACATCAGGAAACACCTTTTCACTGTGAGGGTGACCGAGCACTGGCGCAGGTTGCCCACGGAGATGGTGGAGTCTCCATCCATACAGACACTCAGAAGCCATCTGGACATGGTCCTGGGCAACCTGCTGTAGGTGGCCCTGCTCAGGCAGGGGGTTGGACCAGATGACCTCCAGAGATGCCTTCGCACCTCAACCATTCTGTGGTTCCTTTTCCATGTACTGTCACCACTTTCTACTCTCGTCTCATTGGAGTTTAATTCTATGTATCTAAAAATGCTGCCTTTGCTTTTATGAATATCTGACATTAGGGCATCTCAATCTGGTTTACTGAGGTGTCCTATTTTTTTTTTTTTTTGGTTTGTTCATGCACAAGTTTTTGGACAAAGCTGGTAAAGCCAACAAATCTATGAAGGCCATGGATATCCCTTCGTATCCCATACATTGCATAATTGTGGGCAGTGGCAAAAAAATAAAAATCTTAAAATGTGCTACTGAGGCAGATGAAAATTAAGGGAATATATTTTAAAAACGCCACTAAAAATTTCCATCTACACTTGGGAGAAACATCCAGGAATTTTAAGTGAGAAAAGTTTAGATTTGGACACAACTTTTTTATGATTCAAATTATTAAATATTTTCTACACGTAAACCACAACAACATGCAACATAACAAAAATCCATCTCAAGACTGGCTAAAGTGAGGTAGAAAATACAAGAAGCTCACGTGTCCACACACCCAAACAGACATAAGGCAAACCAGAACCCTAACTTTGTAGAGCTTCGAACTCATAACCACTCTTAGCTCTAGGTATTCACTGTCTTAAAAAGACCTGACATTTGTTGCCAGGGGAACATGCACATAAGCCAAAGGCCAGGTGAGCCAGACTACGATGGCATTAGAGTTTGTAGCTAACAAGGTAGGGTTTGGGCTTAATAAATATTACATTTGCTTTCTGAGAGTAGAAGATAAGAGATGAAATTCAGAAGATCAGAACAGAAACCATCACTAAATGCATTATATTTTATGAATCAATGTATTCTCATTTCATTTCTTTAATTCCCGTAATATTCTGGTTTATATTTAAAGACAGATTAGATAAGGACGCAAAGAACATTAAGCTATAATGAAGAAGTATGTTATGAAACGACCTACAGGTAAAGAATCAGACAGAAAGGAAAAAGACAGGAAGAGCTTTCAGACACTACTCCTCCCAAAAGGGTTGCTGCTTTGACTAAAACTGTACTAACTGTTCCATATTTCAGTGCTTAAGTGTGATCTTTGCTTGCAGTTAACAGCCTGATGAGCTGAACAGAACTTTATCACAAATAAAGTGGTCTTGATTTATTCTCCGTTTTAACACATTTCAGATGTTAAACCAGGTGTAGATCATGCCATCACTCTTCATACTCCATTCATAATTCTTCCCTTTTCAGCAGGCATACAGATCAGATGATCTTAAAAGTTATCAAGTAAGTATCAGTATCTTTGCAAAAGTCGAAGCTAATTTAATGCAAAAATACCACTTTTTAGCAGCATCCAAATCCATTGTACTGCTACAGCCCAGAAAAAAAACCCTAAAACCACAACCAGCTAGTGTTTATTTCCAAAATGAAAACATTTTAAGTTTCAACTTACACTCTGTTTCATGCTTATAAGCACCAAGTGTTAGCTGACGAGACGTTGTTAACAGCTGCTGCATCATTGCAGTAGGATCTTGAAATATCTAATGAAGGAGAAAATATATGATATCACTAATACTTCTCAAAATAAAGTGAGGATTACATTAAAAATTTGCTTACCATTTCATCATAGAATTCAGAAACTACAGTTTTCTTTCCCAGGATGGCATTGGTATCAGACTGAAAAAGCTTCAGCAAGTGATACAAGGTTACCTATAAAAAGACAAAATTTTATTAGTTTGGCAATTATAGGGAAATACAAATCTTCTAGGTATCAACAAGTAGTATTTGTTCTTACTAAACAATTGTATAGGATTTAAAAATCTTTTAGGAATGCGAAAATAAATGTCATATAACTTCAGTAGAATTACTTAAATTTAATATTCAGTATTAAACACACCAGCTATCCAAAGGCTTCTTACTAGTTTAAAGATGTCTGGGCAAGTGGTTTAGGATTAGTGTATAAAAGCTACTAAAAGACCTTCTCATAAACATTTCCAAATAGATGATTTAGTTCAAGCCGACTTTGCCAATTAATCAGTTAGAAAGTGCTTTCTGTGACCTTATCATCCCTTCTTGTGAAGGAAAAACACCAGGGGGGCCTGTGAATAGCTTCTCACTGAAATTTCTCTCTGCGGAGTTACTCTTCCGTTACTGCACTGCAAACGGCAGGAGCCGGAGAGGAACGGAAGCCCTCTGCCCAGCCCCGAGGAACCGCTGGCCGCCTGGACCATGACCTGGGAAGAGGGCACCAGCCCACAGTTCTTTCCTTGCACAAACAGGCCCATGAATGGTCACGGAAGAGAGCGATACCTTACTCTGGCTGGTACTTCCCGGAAAGGAAGAAGACAACAGGCACCGAAACAGCCTTCCAAGAACAGCAGCAAAGAAAAAACACCCAACCAACTCTAAGACAACCCAGCCAACTCTAGGACAGCTTGGTCAGTTTGGTCAAGCTGTGAACGGAATCAGTACGACAGGTCAGGGTGCTACTGAGCATGACAGTGCAGGAACTCCTTTCTAGTCTAGTATCAATTCCCACTTACTCAAGGAAAACATGAAATTAAGGTTTCCCCTCATTTGGCAAAAAATGGCTAAAGCAAAAGGATCACTGTAGTTCTTGTGATAGAAGGAACTCGGTCTTTTCAGAAATAAACACCCTCTTCACCTAAAATACGGTAATCAAGTTTTCCTACCTAAACCTGGATGAATAAAACCTGCAAGATATGTCTAAAACACAGGATGGGAAGAAAGAAATTCATTCCAATGCTTTATTCAACTAGAGAAGTGTCTTAATGTGGTTTTCTTAAGAAAGAGACTAATGCTAGCATAATACCTTTGCTGCTTTTTGACTGATTTTGATCAAATCTGATAGACCAAAAAAAAAAGATAATTAAAATACTCAAACATCCTAAAACTAGGAAGCTACATGGAAGAGAAGTCCTCAGTAGGTCCTCCACCCAGTTCACGTGCAACATGCAGTCACCTATTAGTTAACATCGGAGAAGCCAAGTGCAGGAAAAGCAGTCATGAATGCCAGTAGTAAAGCACAGAAACAGGAAAATGTGGCCAATCATTTAAATACCTTTCCTACAAGAACAGGCTTTATTACTTCCATGGCTGATGAGACTTATTTTGACTAGCAACATCCTACAGCACAGCTTTAGGCCACCACAATTAATTAAGTGTTGTTAAAAGTTCAGCGTACTTACAGGTCTTTCATTTGGATCAATGAAAAATATCTTAATGATTATTTCAAATTCACCCCAGCCTGTTTCGGTGATTTCATATGGTGGCTTGGTAACAACTGCAGTAGGAAACAGAAGCGTTCACACGGGTGATAAAGCCTCAGTGGAACTAATCAAAATCCCAGTTCTAGAACAAACGTCCAAATGCAAAACCCACCTCTTAAAGGATTACCGTAGCTTTCATGCAACTTGAACTGAATTTTTTTCACGTAGGCAGACATATCCTGAAATAGAAGCATCGTTATTTCCGATTATTTACACAGCCCACCAAACTACCGTTTATTCATCCGTCCCACGCGCCTATCATTTCTTCTGGCATAGCTCCCTTTAAAAACAGCAGGAAAGCAAGGCGGTAAATCCAAGGATTAGCACTGCCACGCAGGCCTGTCGTTATTTTGTCCCCGTGAATGCTCTCCAGTTTCCCCCGGCCTGGGAGATCACTCCAAAGGCATAGGAGTGCCTTCCCTCTCTTTTTTCCCTTTTGGAAAGCCACCAGCCGCCCGCCCTTTCCCCGCGTCCCGGCTTCCCCAAGCCCCAGCTCGCCGTTGCGGGGCGCTGCCGGGCGCAGAGCGGCGGGG